TAATTAATTAGTTAGGTAATTATTGTTCCGTACAAATCCCAAAAAAAGGGAAATGTAAATACGGAAAGAAAAAAAAAAAAGGATAGAAATGTAAATATGAACAAATCCCATCATACAGATGAGAGATTGTCTTATTGGAATTTTTGAAATTTTTATTAGAAAGAAAAAAATTATAAACGAAAATTTTTGCTTAATTTCAATAAAGTTTTAATAAAATGTAATAAATTTTAAAAGTTTTCCAAATATTATACTATAATAAAAAGGAAAAAGAAAGAAAAAGAACTTAATAAATTGAATAATTATATTCTTCATATAAATAGAAATAAACATATCCTAATGAATTGTTTTTTCTTTTTTTTTTTTCATCTTTTCATATTAGAAAACAAAAAAAAAAAGAAAGAGAAGAATAATCATAATTAAATATTTAATTTAAATTGATATCATTAATCAATATTTAAATTCAAACACCATTTAGTAATATTTATTATTTAATTCATTTTTGATATTAATGAATGAAGTAATTGGAAGATAAAAAAAATTTTGAAATTTGTTGAAAAATGTTTGAGCCATCTAAAAATATCCATCGATATTGTGGAAAGAAAAAAAAAAAAGAAAAATGAGAATCGATAATGTCTGTATTAAAGGATGGGAAGGATAATCATTGCTTGAGCTATTTATTATTTAACGGATGTGAAAATGGAATGATGGTATTGGAAAAGGAGGAGGAAGAGGATGAAGAGGAAAAGGAAAAGAGAGAAGATGAAGAGGAATGGAAGAGGAAAAGGAAGAGGAGGGAGAAGAAGAGATGAGGAAAGAGGAATGAATGAATGATTGAAGATATTTCAATCTCTTTTCAAAATTTAACAAACATTATTTTAGCAATAAGATTTTTTTCTTCTTTTCAGGTTTAGTTCTTTTCAAATCTAAAATATTTGTTGTAAATTGAAAAAAAAAAAAAAAAGACGCAATTTGAAACAAGTTGATGTAAATTCAGACGATACCAATTGTTTTAATTGAATTTTAAAATATTCTCTTCTTCCTCTTTCTCCTCCTCCTTTTCCTCTTCTTCCTCTTTCTCTTCCTCCTTTTCCTTTCCTTCCTCTTTCTCCTCCTCCTTCTCCTCCTTTCCTCTTCCTCCTCCACCTCTTCTTCCTTCTCTTCTACTATCGTTATTTTCTCCGTTTATCTAATAGTGCTATTCATCATAAATGTTTCATATTATTGTTTTAGAAGATTAACCTGTTCAGTTTAACGGATTAATTAATTAATTAATTTGAATATGTTCAAATGTGATCCTTGTCATAATAACAAAAGTTTATTTTATATTATACAAATAATCCAAAAAACAGAAAAAAGAAAAGTCAAAAGATAATACTATGAACAAAATATTTAATTAAAAAAAATTTGTTTAACTAATTT